ACCGCTCCCCTTCTCATACTTCTGCACATAGTTCCTGGTTGCACCCACCGGGCTTTGGAAATGCCGTTCTTCCACCCCACCGTCACCTCCGATGGGGCTGAGCTGCTCGTGCGCTGGGCAAAGAATGGGGAAAACACGGGATGTGCCATCGCATCCCAACGTGGGCGCAAAGGGCAAGTCCGTCTTGGCAGAACGTGGCAAAACTTTGCGGGTTTTGCAGTGCACTGAAAATCTTGTGCACTTTCATGCCAGTGCAGGAGAAAGATGGGCTGTTTCAGAGAGATGTGGATAACTCTGTCCTTTCATTGTTTTTAATGCGATCTCTCTGTTTTCTACAATATTAACTGGCTGAACACTAGCAAGGGTGAAGGCAACATCCGCCTTTCAATAAATTGCTTTCCAGAGTATTTTCTGTTACTTTCTGCTTTCACATCGCTTGTACCAGACCTTTCCGCTTGCTCCAGAAACTTTGTGGAAGAAACTGGGCATAAAACAAGAAGAAAAACTGAGGTCATGATCTTTACTGGCTGGAGCATTAACTAACAAGTGTTTTGCAACTGTCACCTCTGTCACCCATCTTGCGTTACCAGAACAGGTACTAGAAGAATGAAGAGACTTAAAAAGATACAAAAATAAGACAATAGATTCCAGGAAGAGGGTAGGAACAGAAAAACAAAAGGGTAACTATTCCAGTTTGAGGATGCTTCTTGCATGACCTGGGGCCAGTATCAAGAACGGTTGCATGAGTTTTATTCTGGTATCACTGACTCATTTCATTGCTTTTTTGTTTTGTTTTGTTTTCCTGCTCTACTCATTAGGGACTGTCGACAATCCGAAATTGCATCCTCATTCCCCAGCTCGTCTTGTGAAGCATCGGCCGAGGCCGGGTTTTGCCCCGTGCGCTTGCGTAGTCCCCACACAGACAGACTGTGGGCTCTGAATTCCCATATTTCCTACCCATGTTCCCCAAAATCTGTGGGAGGGGCAGCTTGGGATGCCCAGGTCCATGAAGGGAGCGATGCCCAAGTGCCACCCGGCTGCCTTGTGGATAACATCTGCCTCCTGGGGGGACAAGGGCTGCATCCCATGGCAAAATGCTGGACCCAGAGAGCGACCACCTGTGTCACTGAGTGCAAATAACCCCACACTTCCTTTTGTGGCTCCGTTTCACCTGGGACAGGCTTCTGGTTCCAGCCAATGTTGGAAATGTCAGAGCCGCCTCAGCCTGAAGGTTTCCCCACTCAGTGCACAGTCGCTGGCAGACAGAGGAGCTCTTTTCCACTCATGTCTCTGCTCCCCAGGAGCCCCCAGCGGCTTGTAAATGTTGCCCCAAACTAACAAAAACATCCGACCTCCCTGTGCAGAGTCAACACCAGCTCTCCACAGCCCCTCAGCCCTTTTCTTTGCTGTGTCGGGGCTTGCAAGGTCACTTTGCGGGTGGCAAAAGCATCGCACACACTGCTGGGATGCTGCACCCCCAGCTCCAGAGATGGGTCTTGGCAGCCACCTGGGGAAGCGACCCCCCCAACTGTGTTTCACCCCCGGCATGTCCTGGAGCTGGTGCACAGAGGGTCTGGGAGAACCAGGGCTGAGGACACTTGTGAAGCCACCGACTGTCCCTACCAGGACCCCCCCCAGTGTCATGCATCACGCCGTCCTCTGAGGCGAAGGGTGCTGGGCTCCACCACCCTGCGCAGGTGTCTGATTGGGCAACACAGGACTAATTTCTCTTCTAATTCTTGGGAAAACTGCACTTTTAGAAGACTCCAGTGTCTGAACTTGTGAAAATATCTACTTTCTAGCCAGCTGTGGTATGCGGGTTTCAAGGCCTCAGTGTTTTCGAGCTCTCCAGGTGTGTGGATGAGGAGGAGCGAGACCCGGGCACTTGACCCAAGCTGGCCAACAGGGTTAGTTCATACCATGAACGGCACATTCGATATAAGTTAAAAAGTTTGCTGAGCAATGTTTCTCTGTTATGGTGGCTGCCATCCTGAGAACTTCATGCCCCGGTGCCAGACTCCTGAGCCCTTCCCTTCCTTCTGAAGCTGCAACGCTGGCAGTGTCCCACATTTGCTCTCCCTGCTGGAGAGCACAGCTTCTACAGATAGAATGGGCTGAGTATAGTCCCCGTATATTTTATATTGGTATCAGGATCAATACTGGTTCTTTAGTATTATTAATGTTGATTATTTAGTCTTATTTTATTAAATCTGTTTATATTTCGACCCTCAAGTTTCCTTGTTTTTTCCCTCGATTTCCCTTCCCGGGTGGGAAGGGGTCTTTGGATGAGACAATAATTGCCTAAATGACAATAAATTGTTGTGGGTTCCTCAAACTGTAACAGCAGGGAACCCGCTGAGCCTTGGAAAGGCTGTGGGAGCACGTTGGGGTCTGACATACTTCAGGACGGGGATCCCCCCAGGCTGTGCTGCTCGGCACGGACCCAGCAGTGTGGTTGTCCAGGGTCCCCCCATGCCACCTTCCCTTTCCTATTGCTTCTCCAGTCCAACCTGCATTTAACTCACCCCCAGCCACAGGCTGAGTGTGTATTGCATCCTCCCTGGAGACGACAGGACACATAATACAGATGCATTTGGTGCTTGAGGAAAGAAGTTTTATTTCAATGGCATAGGCAGAAGCAGATGACAAAGCTTTGGTTACAGGTTTGTCTGTGCTTGCGGACAAATGGAAGGGATGGTGCTGCTGGAAGAGCACAATCCCATGGGCACAGCCACCCTGGGAAACACTTCACTTGCTGGGACCATGGCCATGGTCATGATCGTGGTCATGGTCATGGTCATGGCCATGACCGCCATCTGGATGGCCCTTGTGACCCTGGTGGGACCTATTGTGGGCATCAATGGCTACAAGATTCAGCGTGGTCAGGAACTCGGTGAACTTCAGGCGACCGTCACGGTTGCGATCTGCTTTGTTGAAGAGCTTGCTTATGTAGTCATCGATGGTCGTGTTAGGCTGCAGCAGGGCAAATGTGAAAAAGAGTCAGCCTGAAGCACAAGCAGGATTCAGGGTCGCCCTGCCAGCCCACAGCTACGGCACGAGGCTCACCCAGCAAGGATTGCATTTTCAGGAAAAACCCTAGAAAAACCCTCCCTCCCCTTTTGGAGACTCTCAGCCACCCCCATGCCCCAAGGAGGCTGCCACTCCTTTGAGCTTTTGCCGGCATTAGGAGAGCCGGGCCACGCTCAGCTCTTACCGGCACAGTGTTTTGGAGGAAGGGCTTGGCGGTCTCCTTCAGCAGCTGCGAGAACTCAGTCTTGCTCAGGTAGTCATCTAAGGGGTTCTTGATGGCATAATGGTGGTAGACGTTGACGGCGCACTCCAAGGCAAGCTCCAGGTCGGTTTTCATCTTGCTAGGAAGGGACAGGCAGCAAAACATTAAACCCCATCAGAGGAGAAGGACTCCCCTCTCCTCTGGGAGCCCCAACCAGGCTCTGGCTGCCCGGCAGGGTCAGGCTCACCCCGGTGGCACCTCCAGCAGCACGAAGCCTGAAGCCACCATTTGGCAAGGATCTACTTACCTACAAGTGGTGCTGAGGCTGACTTCTGTAGAAGACGGTGCACGGGACAAGAGGAGCAGGCAGGAGTAGTGACTGCACGGTGGAGGCGAGGTCTCTTTTATACTCTCCCTGAGCTATGATTTAGTGACACCCTCAAATTTCCTTCGGGGCAATAACCCCAGGAATTGTGCAAGGCTACAGCAGCACGCCCAGGTGGCGATTTCTTGCCTGGCTCCAGGAACGGGCTGCTCCCACTCTTAACGAGGGAGGGGACGCACCAAACTCGTTAGGGCAAAACAAGGAAACACCAAAAGAGACATCTGCAGGGAACCAGCATTGTGGGTCGGTGACGGTGACGGGGCTTTCCCAGCAGCCAGGACATTCCTGGAGAGTTTGGGGGTCTTTGCCAAGATGATGGAAGAGGAAATTTTCTGGATCACACGAAAGGTGTTGGGTGAGGGTCTCCAGTGGGATGGTGCTGCTTTTTCCCCACGGAGGATGCGGTTCATGGCTCCTGTATCTGCCCTGACGCTGTTGAATTTGGCTGGAGACGTGGTGTCTGCCCCCACCATGGGGTGCTGGGGGATGGCCAGCGCATCCCACCCACCATCCCCCAAGTCACCTCCCCAAAATCATGAGCAGCATTCCTCCTGAATCATTTCTTAACAGCTCGCCAGGGAGCCAAGAAAGACGTTACAAATCCAGGCACGTCAGCGTGCCGGAAACCTGCCAGCCAGTCTTAGGAGATGCCATTTCCCGGCAGCCGTAACGACTGCCCGATGATAACCGAGGGCATTGGCAATCACTGCCTGTTCCCGGTGTTGTGGGATGTTGCCACTCACGGGACACCCCGTGATGTTCCCAGTGTCTGGTACAGGCTGCTAAACCCCACATATCCTTGGGGAAAGACAGTTTGGCGAAGGTGGGGGCTGGAGACGACCCTGTGCAGGAGGATGCCCAAACCCTTCACCCCAAGTCCATGCTTGGTGGGACTGGCAGAGCAAAAAGCCATTAAGGCTTCTAGGAGACAGGAAGGACAGCGGTGATGAAACATCTTCCCATCAGCCTCCTAATCCAGGAGCACAAGGAACTGGTGCCAGAAAAAGCCTAAATTGCAAAAGAGTGAAACAAAGGGACAGGTTGTGCGATGGAGGGTGTGGTGGGTTGACCCTGGCTGGATGCCTCGTGCCCACCAAAGCCGCTCTGTCGCTCCCCTCCTCAGCTGGACAGGGGTGAGAAAATATAATGAAAGGTTCATGGGTCAAGATACGGACAAGGAGATCACTCAGCAATTACCATCACAGGCAAAACCAGACCAGAGTTGGGGAAATTAGTTTAATTTATTGCCAATCAAATCAAAGTAGGATAATGAGAAATAGACCCTAATCTTAAAAACACCTTCGCCCACCCCTCCCTTCTCCCCGGACTTCACTTCACTCTCCATTTCTCCACGTCCTCCCCCGAAGCGGTGCAAAAGGACGGTCAGTGGGGGTTGTGGTCAGTCCATCACACATTGTCTCTGCCGTTCCTTCCTCCTCAGCTGAGGACACCTCACACTCTTCCTCTGCCCCAGCATGGGGTCCCTCCCATGGGACACAGTTCTCCATGAACTTCTCTGACATGAGTCCTTCCTAGGTGATGCAGTTCTTCACCGACTGCTCTGGTGTGGGGCCTCCGTCGGCTGCAGGTGGATATCTGCTACACTGTGGACCTCCATGGGCTGCAGGTGGATATCTGCTTCGCTGTTGACTTCAATGGGCAGCAGGTGGATATCTGCTCCATCATGGACCTCCATGGGATGCAGGCGGCTATCTGCTCTACCGTGGTCGTCCATGGGATGCAGGGGGATATCTGCTCCACCATGGCCCTCCATGGGCTGCAGGTGGATATCTGCTCCATCATGGACCTCCATGGGCTGCAGGAGGACAGCCTGCCTCACCATGGTCTTCCCCATGGGCTGCGGGGGAATCTCTGCTCCGGCACCTGGAGCACCTCCTCATCTCCTTCTTCACTGACATGGGTGTCTGCAGAGCCGGTCCTCACATATTCTCACTCCTCTCTTTGGCTGCAGTTGTGCAGGGAGGTTTTTTTTCCCTTCCTAAATACGTTACGACAAAGACACTGCACCACTGTCCCTGATGGGCTCATCCTTGACCAGTGGCAGGTCCTTCTTGGAGCCAGTTGGCACGGGCTCTATCAGACATGGGGGAAACTTCTACCAGCTTCTCACAGAAGCCACCCGTGTAGCCCCCCGCTACCAAAACCTCACCGTGTAAACCCAATACAGAGGGAGATGAGTGCATCCTCCCCAGGAAGAGCAACCACGCAGGGCTGATCAGCCGGACACGGGCGCAGCATCGGTGCAACGTGACGGGACACGCGTGGGGAGGTGTGAAGGGATGTGCCTGTGCCACGAGCGGGGAGGCGGAAGAAGAGGAGAAGAAATGTGTGCACCATGGGGCAGGCAAGAAGGGGCAGGTACGAAGGGACAGGCATGCGCCGTGGGTCCTCCTGCTGCCATTTGCTTCCCAACCTTCC